CCGGACGCCTATCGGCAACCGTCACTTATAAAGCCACACTCTCCCGTTTCCCTGGCGGCATCCAGCGTTCGCACTGTAAGACAAACAAGTCAGCTGGCTGCACTCGCGCGTACCTTGGACACATTGGGTATTGACGTATGTTGTGTGCCCGAAACTATTATCAAAGACTTTAGTGGGGTTGTTGAATTAACTGCACCCGGTTTGTCCCCTCGCTATTGGTTGCACGCATCCGGAGACGCTGATGCAGCACTTACGGGTCAAGTTGGGCCAGGCATTGTTCTCAGCTCCAAGGCTGAGCCATTGTTGGTTGATTGGATTCCAGTGAACAGCCGTTTATGTGCAGCCCGTTTGACGACATCAGCTAAGGTTAATTCACGAAGTAGTACAAAACGCTGTTTGTTTGTGATTTCCGCTTATGCTCCCACCGACTGCAGTTCTGATGCTGCCAAGGACACATTCTATCACGAACTGAACGCGCTACTACGCAGTGCTACTAGTTCAGATATTATAGTACTTGCAGGGATATGAACGCACAAGTAGGGCGTCTGAGCTCTTCAGAAGCTCAGCTGGGTGGTAATTATGGGCTTAACTCCGAACGGACTGACAACGGCGAGCGTCTGCTGCAACTGTGTGCGGAGCACCAGTTGTTTCTTAGTAGCACTGCTTTTAGACACAGTGGGCGCCGAAGTGCCACTTGGCGTCCTCCTGTAGCTGGCCAGCGATGGACCCAAATTGACCACATTGCCATAAGTTACAGGTGGCGTGGTTCCATCCTGGATTGCCGCTCGTACTGGAATACCTGCGTCGACTCTGATCATGCCTTGGTACGCTGTCGTTTCTCCATGAACTTTACCGGGAGGCGCACCAAGCGTCTCCTCCGATTGGCAACTGAGAAATTGTCTCAGCCCTCGGTCAGGCAAGCCTATCAAGACGCACTGCGTACCGAACTTTCGCTGTCTTGTCCTAATGACACTGAGCTTCAGTGGAATAGGATCTCGGCCGCCATGCACGACGCAGGAGCATCTGCTTGTGGCACTATCCATCGTCACCGCACCAGTCACTGGATATCCGAGAGGTCGGTGAACCTGTTGGAATCTAGAAGAAACTCCCGGCTGGCTCTGAGCACAATGTGACCAGACGGGCTATTAGGCGCGAACTAAAGCGGAGCCTGCGTGCTGACAAGGAAGCCTGGTGGACCAGTCGGGCTCAAGAAATGGAGGAGGCAGGAGCAGTAGGCAATTACCGCAAGCTCTTCCAGCTGATCCGCACCACTGGTCCCAGGAAACCAGGCGTCAGTGAGACAATCAGAGACAGCGCGGGTGCACTGATACACAATAAGGAGCGCCGTATGGCTCGTTGGGCGGAACACTTTCAAGATCAGTTCAGCTGGCCCCTGCTCCCGGACCTCTTCCTACTCAGGTGATGCAGGACGAGCCATGGACGGTTAGTTTTGAGGCTCCGTCGGAGGCTGAGGTCCGAAACGCGATCACAGCCCTCAATCGTTTTCGTGCTGCTGGCCCGGATTCCCTCCCACCTGCACTATTTAAGGATGGAGGTGAGGTCCTCTGCAAAGCACTGACCTCCCTGTTCGAACATGTCTGGAAGGAAGAGAACGTTCCGGCTAACTGGAGTGAATCGATTATAGTGGCAATATACAAGAAGGGCAGTCGCACAGACTGTGCTAACCACAGGGGTATTAGCCTAACGCCAGTTGTGACAAAATTACTGGCCTCGATTCTCGTTCGTCGCCTCACTGCGGAACGGGAATCTCGGATTAGGGAACAGCGAGCAGGTTTCCGCCCAGGACGTGGCTGTATAGACCATATATTCACTCTGCGGCAGGTGCTAGAGCAGCTCCACGCTTACAGCAGACCGACAATAGCTGTGTTATTCGCTTTGAAGAGTGCGTTCGATTCAGTCGATTGATGCATTCTGTTCGAAATACTGGCGCGGAAAGGTGTTCCTACGAAATATGTGAACATCTTACGTGCCCTATGCTCGAACACGACAGACCGCGTCAGAGTCTACGGTTATCTGTCGGATAGCATTCCGACAACAAGTGGAGTTCGTCAGGGTTGTTTGGTTTCCCCTATTTTTGTTTGCTTGCGTCGCGGACTCCATCATGAGGTGTTCCCTTGCGGAATCTCAGACGTGGGCGTTGAGGTCTTGCCTGGTGAAGGGTTAATTCATCTTGATTATGCGGACGATATCGTCTTGCTTTTTGACGAAGTTGGGGCGGCCCAGTCAACCCTGCATAGCTTCTCCAGAGTGGTCACATTCTTTGGTATGCACTTCGCACCTTCAAAGTGCAAAGGGTTGCTGCAGGACCACCAGCCACTTGATGACCCCTTGACGCTTGCTAACAAGGAACTCGAGGTGGTTGATCGATTCACTTACCTTGGCACCTGCAAAAGAAACGATTGGCGCATAGAAACTGAAGTCAGTTCACGCATTGCGAAAGCCAGAGCTACCTTCTTGTATTTGCGACATCTTTGGCGGCAGAAGGGAGTTTCCTTCCATCTGAAATGCCGTGTTTACAAGGCTACAGTGGTGGCCGTCCTACTCTATCGTAGTGATACTTAGCCCCTTCGGTCTGAACATCTGAGGCGCCTTCAAGTCTGATCATCGTTGTCTGCGGAGCATTACTGATGTCGGCTGGCACCAGTTTGTCCGCAACGATGATGTGCCTATGCGAGTGCTGGGCAATGATAATCAAGCTAGTTTCCTAGAATAACTGATAGCACTAACTACGCTGTGTTGGCTTGGGCACGTACTACTTATACCTGGTCGCTGCTTACCTAGGAGGGCGTTGTTTAGTCCGCCAGATGTAGGGTGGCGCAAGGCTCGAGGTGGACAAGTGTTGACTTGGCAGGGTGAAATAAACTCACTGGGGACCCAACTCGGTGCCGTCGGTCCGTCTCGCCTTTCGGGCTGGAGTCCACCTGACCGCTCTGTGATTGACTCGAGGCCTTACAGAACATGGCTCGTAGTCGACACTAATGGCGCGTCTGCTGCCGTCTCCTAGTCGGACTATCTGTTCAAAGTGTATTTGGTGCTGAGTTATCTGCGGGGTAATGGCTACTTATGATGCCGAGCAGTGAAAGCCGCAAGGAAGCCATCTCGCTGATGCCGTATTATCTTTGCACGATAGCCAGCTGTTTGTGGCGGTATGTTGTCAACACAAGATGTAGGCGCCTTGACCCTGAATGTTTGCTTAGGGCATTAAGGTTTTCAGGTAAGTCCCCCCTCTCTCCATCTTATTATTCTTTATTCCGTAGGTCATAATGGTTGTATGTCAGCGGAGCGTCAGTTCAAGTGGCTGATGTACTGTTGTTGATGATTGTTGATTGGGGCCAAAAATTTACGCGAACTTGACGCCATTGGTGTTTGTTAGAGCACTCCGTTGGACTACTTTTTGGTGTCCGTGATGCTTTAAAACAGCAGTAGATTTGACATGAGGCAGCTTCTTTGCAATGTACGGCACATTTAAACACAACTTCAACGACATTTAATGTCCTGTAAAATTGTGCATTTAGTACGTATGCATTTTAACTAACACTGCATCGATTTTACCAACATTTGGCGAACTAAGCGGCTTTCTAAATACACCATTTACTGATGTTACATCATTTCTCTTAACTTTTTTTGTATTCTGTTTGTGTTCCACCTCATTTTCGCACAATTGTTACACCCTTCTACCCCCTGGTGACGCAATCGTGGCAACTTCATCCATCGCACTTCGCTTCTCCCGACCCTAACGTGGCGAACGTTTGGAGTGCTAAACCGCTTGGTCATCGAACCTCGCCTTGATGTGTTTGTGCGTATGTGTGTGTGATTGCGTAGATAAGGAGCGAAGTGTACCTTCTGTGCCCACTCTTCTTGAGGGGCATGCTCTACTCGGCTAGCCACATTGTTACGGGTGATTGCACTATCGCGCCTTCGTGATGCTTTTCTGCCCATCGATGTCCTCCGTTGACCCCACTTTTCTCACACGAAACTTTCCATGTTTTCCCCCTAGCACCTTGTTAGTTAGGGGGGGTGAAGGGAGCGCTAACTCCACTAAGGCCAATAGAGGAGTAGATTGAAATCTCGGGTCATCTTTTTCCGAACGGCGGCCAACCCTTCACATACATTCACACCCCCATTGAATGAGCGGTCAACGCACACGCGTCAACGGACTACGTTTGTCCGCTATGCACCTCCTCCGGCTTTGTGGCGTGCTAATGTGTTACGTCATTGTGCACTGGCTAAGAGATTACCCCAAACAGCCCGGCCTCTACATCCATTTGCATATTTCGGATGCACCTCCTCCAATGTCTATCTTGTTTTGCTTCGTCCGCATGATGCTGGCGTATTGATGGAACGTCTAACCACAAAGAAATCGGTAGCCGAGGTCATCTTTGTGCTACATATTCCAAGCTCCACTATCGGTCTTGTCGTCATATCAACTTTTAGAGCAGAGTTAGTCGGCGGAGTTTAGAATCGAACCGTAGCCGTCATGATTACCAACTGATATTTGTGTCACCAAGAGTTGCGCAATCAGTGCACATATAGGAAATCAGTTTTCGCAAAGGTGGCTAAACGCACAGTTCATTGAGTGGTACATTCATTGTATCGTATCATGTCATGTCACGAGGTACAAGATTACACCCAGAATTTCGACGAAACTCATAAGACAAGAATTGATGGACAAAGTTCCGTTGGCCCTTGCAGTAATCGCTATCTAAAGCAGGAAGCGTCGCCGAATAAAAGACCACGCGATAAGCTTCTATGGGCGGAAGCACTGTTCCAAGTTTCATTAACATAAAGGAACAATTTTTCCGTGCCCACCCGAATAATAGTGATTATAGAATCAGTGTGAAATATACTTGTTTCGAAACTTTAGCATTCCCAAACTATTTTCCAACTGTGAATTCACGTTCATCTTTGTGCATTGTCGTTGCTGACAGCGGGTTTTTGTTGCTTATTCACATTCTGTTCTGTTGTTGCTACACTTCCAGATAAACATCCGGTTCAGAGTTTCCCCGAGGATCAACCTGCTGCTCTCTCTCCCAGTAGGTCGGTGGATTCTCAACTCGCACACCTGACGAACAACTTGCAACAAACGCGGCTTTCCGATTTGTGAGTGACTGGTCTCTTACTGCTTACGTACACGCATTTGCTTAACAAATTTTCATCCGTGGAACCCACCTGAATGTATTTACACAAGGTGCGTCTGAAAAGTTCAGTGAATGATCTCAAAGAATATAATGGACATAAAAGTTACAGCAGCAGGTTCAACACATTTATCCATCTCCCCATGGATGTCGTTGCTGATATACCTCAATTGCTCTACTTTTTTCATGCTCGGTTTAGCTGCGTCTTTCCGACCATCACCGTCAGACGTAAGTTTTCGTTTCTAGTTGATCTATGGCGTAGTCAGACCCTTTGTGGGAATCATTTTAATGCATGCGTTGTGTGTTTGTGTGTGTGCGAAAAGATTGTGACATGCAATTTCATTGTTACCTGTCCGAAAACACTTCACTTCATGACCGGTTTCGAACTTGTTTCCTTTGTGCAAACAGGACTCGAACCTGTGATTTTTGTGATATCGGCCAAGTTCCCTAATTCTAAACCACTGGGTCGCGATGGACAGTGGTTTTCACAACCGTTCTTGACTAGTTGGATGGGTCATTTAGGATCAGTCGCTGGATTGCAACGCGCAGTCTCCAAGTGCATCGCGATTCGCTTGAAGTGAACCTAGGTCAGTTTGATCACTGGGCCGTAAGTGATACAGCAGATGTATACTGGGCGCTGCTTACTCTCGCCTTATAGGTGCTCACGCTTCGACATGTGCTTCGCACCTTCTGACTGCGAAGTAGCGTCATGAACTGGGTCGACAATTCTCAGTTAAGTTCCGTTTACCAACTAATTCTCAAACCCTCAGTATAAGAGTGAACAAATGAATCCAAGGAACCAGTTAGCCGGCTCGTAGCCCTAAGGAACGCAAATCTGCATTGTTATCCGGAAGTCATGGGTTCGAGCCTGCGTTAGGGGACCGGGCTTCCGTCGCAGTATTCGTAGCCCACACGCGCCTGTTGGTGGTTGCGCGGTAGCGAAGCGTCGGTACCGCGTACCGGCTTACTGTTGGTACCTTCAGAACACTACCAGGAAGCGAATTCAACTGTGCCAATCTACGAATGTAGCAGGAGTGATCGCCCATATACACGGCTTTGTTGATTCGCTACTATTTACGGGCGTTACAATGAATTCACCATGGTTTGTTTAACCAAGTCAGCGACCCAAAATGTTTATAAAAGTGCGTGACCAACGTATATACCTATCGAGTCAGCTGTGCGGTAATTTTTTCTATTTTGCCTTTACTGAATACACCTCTTGTAGCTGAAGAAGGAGGATTTGACTTCTACGGCACACAAGTGTTCAGTCAATTCAGATGCCGTGACGTGTACCAGCTAAGCAGTCCTATTACTCATCGGGTGATTGTCATGTAATTGAATTGTCCGCTGGCGTAGTTATGGGTTCGATAGTACTCGTCGAATGCGAGAGCGCCGCATCCCATACGACATCCAACTATCTCTTTGGTAAACTTCGAGGACCCCATCCTCATATTCGCATTCTAACAAAAGGTGAGAAGTACCTAAGCTGTCGCGCCACAATATGAAAGATATGAAATTATCGAGATACTATTCATTATCTAATACAACATAAAAGCCAAAAGCTGCGCAATATACATAGTATATACATAACTATTTTTGCGTCGAATATTCGAGGGAGAACCTAAATGGGAGAAGACAGGTCAAGGAAACGTAAATTACAAGCACCATTCAGGTTGGCTCTTCGCCTTGTCAATTAGTGTATTCAGCCGAACGTGTTCGTCGCCTTTCCTACGCCAAGCAGAGAATTTGAGGTTCCAACCGAGGCCAAGCTCGAAGGGAGGATTCTCATTCCTCTTTGCCACCCTTCCTCTTCTTCCATCCACACCTCAGTCACGCAAACATCGCACGTCACGGTAGTCGGTGTGCTGGCATGCGCAACACGTGTCTTATCTATCGGAGCCTGGTGCTTGGAATAATGGTGCTGAGCGATTCACTCACACTTCTTGCACCGAATACACGACGGCGGATACGTTCATTGCTCACGCAATGTCCCTAGCGAACATGAGGCAAGCTACGAATGTAGCGATAATCGAACATAACTAGCCTATTAGGGTCTGTGTATATGATGGGACAGATTTCTCAACCGTACAGTGGGTGCATTGTAAACCCTGTTTCAGCGTGAGAGTGATGTCGCGCCCGCATCACGGGTTGCGGAGATTTACAAAATCGTCTCGAGATTTTTCTGTGCTCTTAGTGATCTCATATGCGAATCCACCGGCGCTATATTAACGCCCTAGATACTTGACTTTCTGATCGACTTCAAGCTGATCGCTACCAAGGATCGTGGTTGGGGATTGGAGCGGTGAAGCGGACAAATGCTGGGATGCACTTTAGCGACGTAAAACAAGGGCTCGTTAGGTCTGCGAAAAAATCAGCTCCCTCACTGTAGTCTCGCCCGCGTTGGTGGTCGAACCAAATACCCGGCATCGTGTGAGCCGGGCCAAGATTCCTGATCCGCAGTTTGTGAGAATTTTTTTCGGGCCTCAAACCTCCAAGGAGGGCCGAAGACGCCAAGCCCGGCTGAGTCTACATGTCAGCCAGGACGCCATACCTACAGACATCAAACGTACTTGGCATAGGGGGCGGAAGCGTCCAGCCAAATTGTCAGTGTGACGGCATATGTTTGACTTATATGTGACCATGAATAATACTAGTAAATCCTCTCTAGTCAGTCAACTTGTGTCTCTCCTGATTTCTCCCTTACTGGGTTCCACACGGCACTGGGTAGTAAGCGAAGACGGGTCAGCGTTACGACTAAGAGGGTTTGCGACGGTTTGCCACACCGAGCGGTTTACGACAGTAGGTTTCTGTCAATCTCGGAAGAGAGCTTAGTATTTCGAGGGTGTAAAGCATAGCTATCTTCCGTTAATCTATCCCGTGCTGCATGCCACGTTTGGGAGCTGTCACAGATTTGGACAATGTCGTCAGCATACTCTAAGTCAAGAAGTCGTTCACTTGAGAGCAGCTCTACACCTTGTAGGTCATGTTCAGCGAACGCTATTTCGATGGCTTCATCAATAGCGATGTTGAAGAGGAAAGGTGACAGCGGGCACCCTTGTCTTATACTGCTGGAGATATTGAAACTCCGCAACAGTTTACTCTAAACTCGCGCTGGGAATGAGGATACAAGAATAAGTATTTTTTGTCTACTCTACCGAGGTACCTATATGTTGCACAAGCCCATGGTAGATCACTGCCTTTCGTAACATAAAGAAGAATAAGAAAATCGGGTTTCAACACTGTTCTCATGAACGGACCATTATCCAAGCAATAGAGAGGAAACTGTGGCTTAAGAACGAAGGAAATGAAGTCAGCCCTAGGTAGCCTCCAATACTTGCACACACAACCTTTCCCAGAATTTCAAGTCTTTTCTCATGGATCATTGTAAGCTCGATAACATTCGGCTGACGGCTTTACGAGCTGCAACCACTGATCTGGCTGAACATCTGCTATCTTCTATCAGCGTTGTATAGAGGAGAACCGTATTCCAACAATATGGAAGCAAGGAGTCATCATTCCTATTCATAAGGGAGATAATCGCACTGACCCAATCAAATACCGTCCTATAACGCTACTCCCTGTGTTTTCCAAGGTTATGGAGTCTATCATCGCTGATGCTCTCATGCAGGATCTGGAAAATCAAGGTGATAGCACCAGAGTAACATGGCTTCCGACAAAACCGCTCATGCAATACGAACCTGCTAATTGCACGCAATAGCTGGACTGAAACAGTTGATGGTGAAGCAAGAGTCGACTTCGTTTACGTGAACTTCTCAAAAGTGTTTGATCACTTGAACCAACGAATTCCCCTGCATAAGTTTCAGCTCTATGGCATTTGTGACCCACTGTTGCGTTGGATAGGCAATTTCCTGTACACACATCGGTTGGAATTGTGAGTAAGAGAATCCATGTCCGACGCAATTGAGATGGAATGCGGCGTACCACAAGGCTCAATGCTTGGGCCCCATCTATTCTCGATTTTTATGAACTAACTGGCGAGGGAAATTACTTTCGATTTCCCATATTTCGCGGGTGATATCAAGTTATGGCGAGCGATCAGTGAACCAAACGTCCATGAAAAGCTCCAACGGGATTTCAAACTGGTCAGTTCTGAATAAACTACCTTTCAATGTGGAAAAATGTCATGCTATTCAATTGCGTCATAGGCATGACTACGTGTATAGGCTTGGGTCACATGTATTGCAAACAACTTACCAGGAACGCGACCTTGGTGTGCTCATCCAAAGTGATTTTAACTGTTCAAAGCAGTCAGAGGCAGCTGCGAAAAGAGCCAACCAGCACGTCGGCTTGCTGCGGAGAGCACTCGGAAGTTTCGACCCATCCATCTTCCCCATGATGCACAATTCGTTGAATACGCCATCCAAGCTTGGCAACCTTGATTGAAGCGAGACAGAAGTTCTAGAGAAACCACAACACAGGGCCAGAAAAGACATCAAGGGCCTCCGCAATTTGTCCTACCATCTAAGGCTGAAGTCACTGGGAGTTTTCAGTGGCCGCTACCGAAGGCCGCACGGCGATTTCATATTAGTTTACCAAATACCGAGTGGCCCTAATCACATGCCGTCACTTGCTGAAATTCATTCATAACACCAATCTCAGAGGTAATCCTCCGAAAGTTTTTGAACCGTATAGCCGCCTGGAATGCCGGCGGAATAGTTTTTCACTTTGGGTTTGCCAACCCTGTTACTCTCTCCCAAACTTAGTTGTTTCCTCCCTTACCTTGGAACTTTCCAAAAAAACGATTGGATCTTGCCCTTGGCCTCCAACACTTCGTTGCCTAATCTGTGCTACTTTGGAATATATTAATTATCCCTTTAAGCCGGATTAGTATTTCACATAAATCCCGAGGAAGCGACACAGAGGTGAGTATTCTTGTTTTCACTTTTCTCACGGCGTACCTCAACTACAACTGCCCCCATGTTTCCTCCTCGTTCGCATTCAATTCCCACTACTAATATTCAGCGGCGTAGCTGCTAGATAAACGCTCAAACTGACAACTCATATATCTTTTGATATTGTAGTTTTACCCCCATCATCCTGCGGTACTTGTCAAGCAACTGCTTTTTTGCCCGGCATATATCATTTTTCATTGTTCAACTATCAATAAGATGTTAGGAACTGGTAACCGCGGTTTCACTGTTTGGAAATTTAGCAACGGGCTCTTCAGCGTCATACTGCCTTACCTGCCTCGAATTCACTCTCCTGCACCGTAACTCGACTACGTTTTATGGTATGCAGTTCGATCTCTCGTCTTGGCTTTCGTTGTTTGCGCCTGTTCATTTTAGTAGCATGTACTCTGTACATTACCGTTTGATGGTATGGCTAAAAGACACGCGCCGAGATGTGCACTTGTTCTCTTCTTCGTTAGTGTTCTCGTTGTCGGGAACTGATGCAACCAACTCCAGTAATCTGAGCACACTGTTCAGTGGTCCCACCATCTCTAGGCTCTGAGATACATGTGACTCGTGCCGTGCTTGACCCACATATATTCCAGGATACGATCAGCAGCCGACTTCAGCAGTACGTTTGTAACCGTCTGTTAATCAAACTCTTTGATTTATGCATGGAGTTAGGTCGATTATGAAATAGAGTAGTCGAGACCTCAAAGATATCTTCCCATGGATGTTGGTTTGTCTTCGCACGATGGCAAGATGTTCCTAATCCTGTGGTGTTGGCCGGATGTAGACGCTTTCATCCGAGTTGTTTGCTATGGGGATACTGGCTTCACACTGGATTCTCCCTTATTCTACTCCCGTTGTATGGCCGATAAACATGCGTTTAGAGTACGGTTGTACTGCTGCTATTGTTGTTGATATTTGTGCTCACTTGCCTCGCTGGCTCGATCATAAATTGAGTATGGCTTTTCCAAAGTGCTGTCAAGCCCCTTGCCGTTAGCCCATCCACCTGCAAAACGTGTCTTCTTCTCCCTCCTTGTTAAGATTGATTTTTCCTGTTCGGCTTTCCTCGGTCACTTCTCATTGCCGTGGAAATGCCGGTCTGGTGAGTATGCTCATAGCGTTGAGAACAACGCAACGCGGTGCAGACGTGTTGTCTACCGGGAACGCACGTCTTGATTACTTAATAGCTCGAACATAGAACACTTCATTCGTGGTGCCGTTTTGACTCTCCGTCCCGCTGCACGCCTTCATCCACAACGTATCAGTGGTGGTTGATTTGTGCATTACGCGCGCTCCGTCCGCAATGATCTAGGATTTCTCTGATTTCATCAGAGCCAGATAATTTTCACCATACCACTTGCGAGTAGTAAACCAAGTGAATCGCCAGCTGTACGCCGTAACGGTGCTTCACTGCCACGCGACCACCACCAGTCGCGCGGACTGAGTACACCGCGAGCACACCCACCACTACGCGGATTCGAACCGGGAACCTTATGGTTGCAAAGCAGGCGCGCAGATCACTCGGCCACCGGTCGACAGCGAGTAGCGCACCACAGTAACACTTCGTTTTCGGATGTTATTTGACTCAGAAGTCAGAACTGGTGCCGAACTACTTCGGAGCTTTTTACATAATAATAAGGACATTATATTTTATTCCTACAACATGAGACTGTCCATCTACCGATATTTTATATACAAGGTTAAACTGAATTAGAGCATAGAGTTTTTGACTATCTGATGGTTTCGTCTCATCTCAGCGTCTTGGTTAGTGTTTGTAGGCTCCGTGTAAAACAAATTGCTACGATATTATTCTCTAGTTTTGCTATCAGCTGAGCGATCTTCGATGCTGGGCAGCTGTTAAATTTCTAGTATTCATGTTACTCTGCACTTTGTATTTTTTCAGTGAATATTCAGTTTAGTGCAGACTCATGGAAATCTGAATAAAGTGTAGGTCTTGTAGAGAATAGAGAAACAGATAGAACCATTTATGCCATTTACTGCAAGTATGTATATTCCTATGATCGATCAAGTGGGTCAGAGCTACCAATGATCATCAGATATTGCCTATGACAGCCATATGTGGCTGGAGAGAGACGGGCGGTTAAATAAGGGGATATGTGAAGATACAGCTGGTTGGATGTGAGCCGCGCAGTCAGTTCTTTCAGCACACACTTGGAGGCACGGAGTAGGAGTTAGGTTTAAAAAGCGGACTAAGTTAGGCACCTGGTTTCGGCACTCATGTTGGTGATGCTACCTCTGTTGACCATCGGCTTGACCACGGGCATCCGGATGGCCGAACTGTCATTCCGTATGCAAATGCTTGCACTAGGACTTATGTTAGAACTTATTTTCAAGCTGCTTTTAACAACGCAGTCGCAGTTACTTCCACTAGGGAATATCGGAGCTCTTTATCAGACAACGCTTCACTGGAAATAGTCGTTCAGTGGATTTGTCCTTTAGTTTCTTCTTTCGCACTTTGCGCAGCCTAATTCACTGGATTAAAGACTTCTTTTACTCGTTGGTTGGTGCTTCGTACACACATGATGGGTACATTTTGCTTTGGAGATATTTTGTGTATTGCTTGCTGCTGACGTAGCACTTAACAGTTGTTCTTTCTTTTTGCGTCTTGAATTATTGGTAGCTTCTAAAATTTTCTAGCACATATCCCACCACTTGAGCATCGCGCCCCGTGACCTCACAGTGTTGTTCTATTCAAGCATTATAGCGCGCTTAATGAAGTTTTCCACCACCTCATTTTCCATGCTTTGTGCAATTAACATTAAGAGCAATACTGTATCCCGCGAAACTTCCTTCTGGTTTCGGCCCGAATGTGAAATCAGTCACCCTGATGATAGCACGAGTTCACACTGGGAGTTTCCGGGTCACGCTACAAATAAATTGCGATGCTCGCTGAATTTATAAGTGAAGCTAGAGATCTTTTAATTTCTATGACGACTAAGTTGCTTGTGTAATTTGGCTGTCTATGTCTGATGCAGTCAATCTGCGGTCTGTTAGAAGCTTCAAGTGTTATGTGATTTTTCTGAAACGAACTAAAACCATCGCCTTTTTATTCTTCGCCCACCCGTCTTGTCGCTAAAATGATAGTTTTTCTTGTAAAATTTTGGTTTCCTTCAGGCACCTCTCGATGACCCCGTGCTGTTTTCTTATGATCTCTTTGTTCTTCTTGTTATTTTTTTCTCATAGACTGTTCCCCGTTAGGTCGAAGGGTCCCAACCCTAATTCTGGTTCATCCATGCCAGCTTCCTTGAGTCGGAACTATTTATCTGGTCTTTCGAGTGCATCGAGCGCATCCTCCAACATTCCTATGCAATCCCTTTCTCTGACAAGTTCATCTTCACGATCCCAGCAGTGTCCCAACGACGAAGTGCCTTCGTCTGGTTCTAACGGACCAGCGTGGCGCCAGTTTGGACGTCTTCGGGATGTCCTAACTCCGAAAAAACCTACACCCGTCCCTGATGGCCGCCTGGTTTCGGACAAGTTGCGAAAGACTCGTCATCTCAACAATGTGTTTCTCGTTCGTGAAGGTCTCAGTCCTGGACAAGCGTTTGATCAGATAGCTGCCGCCTTGCATCAACAATCTATCCGATTTACTTTGAAAGGGTGAGCTTGTGAGGTTATTCGATTGCTCACCATCTTATCTGTTTTGTCCTTCACTAGTTCTGCCATTAGTTTACTACTGTTATAACTTTAAGCTATCACGTCTGTAGTAATCTTCCCTCGTCAACAGCTGTCGGTATTTTTTTGGGTGGTTCGTTTCACCCCATTGGAATGGAATAGCCACCGCATTTGTACCTTGTCCATCTTTTGGGACCTTTCAGCGACGTTCACCTTCCGATTCCTTTGAGATTTGGCGCATTTAAGCCGCTGAGTTAGGCGTGTCGACGGACCATTCATCTGCGCTTGTGGGACAGCTGGATCTGATCCACAGTCCTTCTCGTTGTCCGCGTGCTCCACGTTATACATTTGGTCGCAACATCTTTTATCTCTAGAGAAATAGACGAGGATAAGCTGGGGTACTTCATGATCATCCCGATCAGAAAGCTGTAGAGAATGGGAGACATAGAGTAACAGTTGTCTTGCTAATCCAGGAAAAGGCTCCTCGTAAATCCTTAAGCCCTATCGGGAGTCGTGGTACTAAGTTTCTAGGACAGCGAGCTCCTTCCCAGCCACAGTTTTAAAATGGCAAGAAAGAACCACATTTCGTCAGGATAATCTGAATTCAGCCATTTCGTGTATTCTCATCAGCCGTTTACATATACTTAGTGGAATAGCTAGGTTACATACAGAAACATTCAAGTTTTAACAGCATTGGATAATGGAAACCAGAGTTCATCTGATGCTGGCCGGCATTCCGCTTAGAGGAATGTGGCCACCAGCCTCACCGAGGCTGGGCGATCGAATGTGAGCTGCAACGCGTCTCCTCGACATTACGTGTAAACGGATATCCGGAGAAATTCTTAGCGTGGCACTCAAACACGAACTGGTGACTGACGTACCTAGGAAACAGTGTTCAAAGGAGACCAAAATGACAGGAGATTCCGCTATCGTCTCCGTCAGTCCATAAAAAGGTTTTATTACGCTACTGAACTTGTGGTTTTGCTCCAAGTTAGAAAGTTGCTGTTAAAATCCAACCTGGACCAACATGACTCCCGAGTTACCGCCTCATACATGTACCTGTTTCACTGTACTTGCGGTAGCGACTACGTCGGCCGAACGGAGAGGAGACTGTCCACAAGGATTTTAGAGCATATTCCGCGTAACCTAGTCGCGAATGGTCCGAAGCTGCCCACCAGTTCAATCGCCCGACACATACTTGACTGCCCCATGTGTGAAAACCCACGTGAATCATTTAGGATAACCAACCAACAGAGCGCCGCTCGCCTGCTTCAGTTCACTGCGGCCTCGGTAATTGGGCGGCTGAAACCCAGTTTGTGTAAACAGACCGAGTTCGTCGCCACTCTCGCCCTGCCTCGGTGAGGCTGGTGGCCACATTGCTCTAAGCGGAATGCCGGCCAGCATCAGATGAACTTTGGTCGTTTCTGTTGTCCAATGACGTTACACCTTGAATGTCTCTGTATGCAACTTAGCTATTCCACTAATTGTATGTAAACGGCTGATGAGAATACGCGAAATAGCTGAATTCAAATTCTCCTGATAAAATGTGGTTCTTCCTTGCCACTGAAATTTGAAGGTAAAGTCTTGTGTGGCACTTTTAAAACCTGAAGTCATCACAAACGGTCTAGGCCATTCTAGGCATGTTCTGTATACCTTCAAGTTGCAACGTACTGCTATATGACTATGCTAATACACCGCTAGTCTTAACATTCGCTTGACAAACGCCCGGAGTTGTCTATCTATGGGATTACTCCTATCTGGATCGCTCGTGCGGCTTTTTAAATTCGGCGGTCGCTTACGTAGACCACGAGTTTTCAGCGCTGCGGTATTACTGTATGCATCGGCGATCTGGCCTCTGCGATCTGTTGACATTTGGAGATTGACCGCATCTCATCACCGATACTGTCGCAATGCGACTGCAATGAGCTGTGCTATGTGGCGCTTTTTGCACCTTCATTGTCACTCATACCAGATGGATCAATGGTTACAGACTAGACCAACTCTATCTCTTGGTCATCCAGGTTGGAAGTTGGAGTGAGGTTGGCTCCTTACTACCATAATGGACTCTCTGTAACCCAGTACCTTGCGGTTAGATTTTCAAACTAATGGATGTGGTTGAGAACCCTAATTGTTCTGCTTTCTAGGTATGGGCAACTTGACAGTATAAATACACTTCATACATAACCGGTGTCTATTTAGACAGTACCGGACAGTCCAGCTGGATGGCCTGATGAATATACATTGCGATGATAATGTCTTCACACAATTTCCTAGGGTCCTGGCCTTCGCATAGGTCAATCAACATCGGCTTATCAGCCGCATTGAATTGGGTGGATAGAGGTGCGGATGCTACTACTCAGGCCTTCCTGTCTTCTTCCTCTCCATATTCCGCTTTTTCATCTCTATCGTGCCCTTCCAAATTCATTTTTATCCTGCCGTTTTCAACCTCTCAATTCTTGGCTCTCCCCCATCCTGCCTTGCTAAATATTTGTCATCTAGTTTCAACTCAAGCCATCGCATAGCGTCAATTCTCCCCTGTCGATAAGTCTATGTTCGACTATGCAGGCAACCTCATTTAATCCAATTGTATTTGGAACCGTCGATTATTGATAAAACTGACGTACCTCAACGTGAACAGGTTGTTGCAGATCGGTCAACAAGCAGCACTTACCTTCTCGATCGATATTTGTTACTTATCTAAGATCCACTCTTTGCTCCCTCTGCGCTCCCATTCATGTGAAAATGACGGCATCTTCTCATTGTGCTTGACAAACCAGTGTGGATTTTGATCTGAGTTCCCGAGTTGAAGGTCCTCTAGTAGATTGAATCCAAGTCCGTCGCCGAATGTGCGCCGTCAGTTTGGCTAGCTCGTTCAAAGCTTGCAAGTCGCGCGCAGTCAGACGATATTAGCTTGTACTTGCGGCCTACGGCCCCACAAACTGTCGCGCTGACTCACTAACTGAACAACCTTCTTCATCACAGAAGGAACAGGAATACCGGAGTGCTAGCTAATGTCCTGAACGCTCAAGTTTATATGTTGCCTACTGACGAGGTGCGTTTGGGCGCTCAACACCGTGTGGGCTTCCGTAACGATAACAGTGAATATTGTTAATTAAGTATGAGTGGAAGGATTTCGGTGAATATTTTGGTTCGTCGCAATCAGCCGACAATTCAGATATGTCGACCAGCTATCCGGCTGATTGCGACGAACCAAAATACTCACCAAAATCCTTCCACTCATAATTAACACCAATTCGCTTATACGGATTCCACAAAATGCTATGTCGATTCATAGCTGCCGTAACCGGGAAGTCCTGACGCCGGAAGGCCAACCGCTGTCATCTGCATGGCAGTGGAGAATGAGTCGGGCTATATCGCATTTAGCTAACAATTCGTGATGGTCGGATACCATCCTCTATGGCGCAGTTGCATAAGCTGCGGTCTAGTTGGCAAGAGCCACTAGCAGTCATGGGTTCGATCCTCCTTAGAGGACCGAAGGATGCGCACCACTGATGAGCCCCAATAGGGCGAAACGGCCCTCTGGTGCTTTTCTGGATAGCTGGTCGACATATCTGAATTGTCGGCTGATTGCAGTGAATATTGTTGTCTATTCCTCGAGAGCACCAACTTCGGACATAGCACTCGTAAAAGGGTGAGATGGTGCCCACCAACCACGGATTAGCCATGAATGCAAATCGATCACATCGTGACCAACCACTGTTAGAGAGGCTGCGTAAAAATCTGCCGCTCGATTTTGAGCACAAGTATGGACTCCGACCATACATGCATGTGCCGACCTGTGGGTGCGTTTCAGTTGATGCTCGCGACGACGCTGTGAGTGCACCGACACCCGCCAGCTGGTGTTAGCGAGACTATATACGACGAGATCGGACAGGCGATCCACAAGCTGTCAAAAAGCTTGGAGCATTTAGCTGAGCACTCTGAAAGCAATTTAGTCGACCGAAACTACTAAATTCGCTGCCAGTCAGTGATCGCCATGCTTCCTGAGCTGTTCCTTTGGGTCCGCCGTCTCGCGCAGAACTCGAACGTAAGATCGGACTCCTGAAATTGAATAAGGTCACGGTACCAGATGATGATCCTCCAGTCATTTTCAATTTCCGAGGACCAGCTCTTGTGAACGATTCACACGATTTATTACCGAAACCGTGGGAGCAGGAAACTGTCCTGATAGACGAGCTGCTCTGAGACTGTATTTAAGAGCAAGTAGAAAGGTTTCTGTACAACTCTATCGAATTACGAAAAATCAAAATTTACTTGTGAATTATCAGCAGTTGTGTCTGGTCCGTTAATCGTTTATCCTTGTTCGGTTAGAAATTTGTACTAGTGTCATTATTTCCGGGCATACAATGTCTTCTTTTGGCACTGTATGTGCATCGTTTCACAAAAGCACAGGTTTCCAAAATAATCGTCGATACGGGTTTTAAAACACTTCACAGAATCGGCCTCTATTAATCCTTCAGGTAGTGTATTCCATAAGTTTACGATTCTTCGTTCGATACAAAGCTGATGTGATACTTTGTTCATGCTGGGGACCCTGAGTTTGTAACGATGTCCTCGGGTGTTACAGGGTTCCCGCAGGTGAAATATTGGCCGCAGTATGGGGAAGTGATTCAAGTGTAGTACTCGATGGGTCATAATAAGGTCAATTCTTACTCGGCGATAGGATAGTGTGTAGAGTCCGAGCCTTTCACAACGTTTTTCATACGGAAGCTTTCGTAGGGTCGGTATCATTCTAGTTGCGATATGCTGTATTTTCTCCAGCTTTTCAGTTTCCCATTGGGTTATCGGATGGTAAGCTGGGGCACCGTATTCAAGGATTGGTCTAATGAGCGAGGTGAATAGACGAGGGACGGTTTCTTCGGACCATGTGGAGAAACTGCGTCTTAATGCCCAGAGCATACGAAGTCCCGCACGGTACAATTTCTCTGTATTTTCTAGTGATCTCAGATCATGTCGTGAGAGAA